TCACTAAACACAAGCAGTGAAGAGTGATCTGCTATCAATAACCTGGGAGGAAAGTGGAGAGGTGATCTTGGTGCTGTGCACCATTTCTACCTGCTTTAGCAGTTTGTCACTATCAAGTTCTCATCTCTCTGTTGATTTCCTTACGTTGAAGGTGCACCAAGGCTGCTTAGTGCTCTTCACTCTATAGCAACAGTTCCCTGAGGTTCTAATGAGCTGTGATGCCCCCAGCCTTGCACATTTGCACAGACACAACCTACTGTTTTAGCACACGTACCTCGTTCTTCCTTTCACAAACCTCTGATGTTTACTTGGGACTACTATCTTACCTACTCTAGACGACAAATTAATGGAACCATTCACGAACCAAAAATCAATTCCTAAATATTAATTCACACCTTTTTGTTTAGACAACAGAAAGAAAGGATACCCCAGCTATTCAAATTTTCCCACGAGCTGTATTTTTTTATCTCTTACAGTTCTTTGGTAAGATTTTTCTTCTCTTCTTTCCACACATTTTGCTCTAAACATTAGAGATAAATGCCTGTAGCCATTTTCTAAAACCCTTGAAAAGTGAGCAAGGTAGATTTTATTCTTTTTCTTCTTTGTTTCATTCTTTCTTTGAATTGCTTTCTCCACCTTCACATTTTTGTCTCCCTCTCAGGTGATCCTAGAGGTAAGATTTATGTTTACTACTGATGTTTTATGATTAAGGCACTGAACTTTGGTCACTGAATTACTACTATCTTTAGGTTCAGCAATCTGCCAGCCACGCACAAGTCCCCAGGGGACCTCCCACAACCAGGGTGCCAATTGGCGCCGAGTCCAGACTTTAACCTTTAAGCACTAGCAGCCCCCAGTGGTCCTATTTATCACTGCAGTTCAGGGTTTTTTTGAGTTTTCTAGGTACTCTAACTTTCAATGACAATGTAAATTCCAGTCAAGTGCCTCAGAACTAGCCAGTACTCAGGAGTCTGCTGAACTCAGTAAAGAACCATATATATTCGATCATAGCTAAAGATGAAAAATTTTAATTTATTTCCAGTCATTGCATCTATCATGTATGTATTACAAAACACATACCTGTAAGAGCAGGGTTTTTTTGTAAAACACATTTGAAAAGGGGGGAAAATCAGATCAAAAGAAAATCAGACTCTTTATTGGACAGCGTTTTTGAAGAAGAGAAAATAGGTTCAGAGTCTCTTCCAAGAATATTAGGTTCTACAGCTATTTTTTGCTTTTTTTACAAGATCATGACTCATGGAAAAGATACTATAGCAACCATAAATTTTTAATCTGCCTTTTGATTGAAGTTCACATACTTAGAAACTACAGTCCATCATATCTACTGAATTAGAATTCTAAATCAAAAATTCCTGGCTGACGGTTCGTTCACACAATGAAAATTCAATCATATTCTCTGAAAATACTCAACAAGAAGCACATCCCAGCCACTGTTCTTAAACCCAGTGCTTTGCAAAACAATCTGAAACTGTGTTGACTGGACTTGTTTTCCCTGTTCCCTAAAAGACCTCAGTTACTGAGGAAAGGTGAAGTAATGGGATACCGCAAAACATCACCGGAAGGGATAGAGAATAGGAAGAGTGAGAAGGGCGACAAAAGATGCACGTCTAAGACAAATACGGGATGCTCGCACCTACCCAGCTCCCTCCCACTCCAGAAGCAGAACAGCCACATCAGCACAAGCCCTGTATCAGTGCTGACTCAGCAGAGGGAGGGCGGAGAGGGAAGGATGTGCAAGGCTGCCGGGGGAAGAGACAGAACAGCACTTCTGCACAACACTTCTGTACGGGATGAAAAGAAGGAATTTCCTCTCGTTAATGTTGAAGCCCTCCAGTAACTCCTAATGCTGCAGCATTAGGGAGATGAAGGGCTGTTAATTAAAACAGCTCATCTGAAAATCAGTGGGATTTATACATTTAGGAGATTATGAGCAGGGCAGAACAGAAACAGATGAACGTTTGTCCTCTCTGTATCAGAATCTCACCAGACCTGATGCCACAGGAGCCCAGAGAGGCAACATGGCTTTACCCAGTCCCTTCTCCTTCCTAAATCCAGCAGGCCCATGGTGTCACTTAGCTACTTCTTTTCCTCCTGTTCTTTTCCTCCTATTACTCGTGTTGCAATAGCTGAGGACATCTAGCAGAGTTTTGTAACAGACGCATACTTCCACTTTGTCTGCAGTGTAAGCACTGAATACTTGAGACGAGAAAAAAAAAACCCAAACCCAATCCCCAGAACATATGTGCCTTCTCTGCAGTTTAAGGGCTAAATGCTGGGGTCCTTCCTCAGAGGTAACCTAAGGGAAGTCTGCCTTACTCAGTATCTCTGAATCTGATCCTTCACGAGCAGCAGTCAGCCCAGAGTGTGAATGTGCTAACTGAGACATGACAAACCCATGTAACACCTCTTACTGATATTCTGTTATTCTGTGGTTAAGGCTCATGAGGATTTTTGAAAGGAAGTTTATTTTTGCAAGCTGCTGAGTGCTGACTATGACATGGGGCAGCTTTCACTTAGGCAAATATCTTAATTTTTGTTAAGGCTCTTGGACAGACAGACTATTATTGTGACATTTACAAGAAAAGCTGTGTAGATACATTTGGCTTAGGCTATTCAGTGAAAGTACATGTTATAGGTTTTAACAAATAATGGACGGTCATGGTTCAGCACAAAAGGAGAAAGCAGCTTTTCATCTTGACAGCTGCCATCTCTCCCCTTCTTTTGGAAGTTCTAAAAATATTTGAGAGGTCCAAAACAATGTTCCTCATAGGTTATTGTCACTACCTAAAACATAGAGGTTGTTATTCAGTATGACAAATCAGTTTTGTGTAGTTTAATCATCTGTCTCTGTCAGTTACATGAAGTGGATGATTCTGAAAAAGTCAGCAACAATCATAATGAAAACATACATTATGATACAATGCGTCACACAGCACTGAAAATTAATCCTGCTGCTAAAGAAATGGAAAATGCACAATAAACACATTACCTGGAATTAAAATTGTTTTTGACCAAATCTCCAGAGTCTTTAAAGTTGTAACAATGATTTCCTATTTATATGGACTGCTCGAATTCTCAGGTGATTCCCTGTGGAGAGCTGTATGAATACTTTTTCCAGAGCTGAGAAAAGGAAAATAGATAGCTGTAATGGAACTGCAGGAGCAGCCAAGCAGTAGATTGATTCAACAGGAGAAATTCAATGCATCCCAAAAGATTTCCTAGGATTTGCTCTCCTGCTGCTTAGGGCACAATTTGTTGTAATGAGAAACTGAGGATTTTGTTTCAGGTGTGTCAAAGCTTGTAGTGATAACTTGAAGGTATAAAGAAAAAACAACTGAAAATCTCTCTTAAATAGTGTTTTTGGATGAGGAGAGAACAAGGACAAGCTCTTCAAGGTGCAAAAAAGGTCAAATATCTCATGTAAATAGCATTCCTTAAGAGATACTAATTGAATGCACAGTTGAACCCTTTCCTTCATCTCCAAACTCCTGTATTAATCAGCTCGAAAGCTACACTACACTTCAGTACTACAGTAAGCAAAACAGAGAAAGCTTTTTGTAAGAGGTTTTTTTATTTAATAAGGGAACATTTAAACAGGCAGACTGCTCTGTTCATCTGGAGTGTACCACACAGTAGAAGGCTGGCAGGAAGCATGTACTGCTGCAGTACTACATAAGCCCTGTTTGAAAGGTTAAGTGGGACATGCATGACGTGAATTTCACCCTGAAGAGATGTGAGAATTTGTAGGCACTCATGCCCTCGTCTATGAGAAGTAATAGTCATTATGAACACTGAGCTTCTCTACAGCTTCGGTGTACCACAGCCTATGCAGATTTCTTGCTAATTATTTTATAGTGAAAGCTCTGAAATGCTGTGTTGTTTCTCAAGTAAAGCCCAGATTTTTTTTCAGAAACAGACTGCCAGATGAAATTTCCTCAGGCAAAATGCTGAATACTGATGGCATCCTGGTTTGATTAGGGAAGATGTGTAGAATCTGAGATGTTCATATTCACAGCACCACATATTGTTCAGCACTAGCACACCCCTCACACTTCTCAACATCACACTATGTACTGGAACATCACATGGTGTAGAAGAACCAACAGAGAAGAAACAGATGCTCTAAAAAACACCTTACCAAGAATGAACATTCATGCATGAATGACATTATATCTGGAGACATTCAGCATAGGTTTACATTTAGTTACAAACAACGCACATATCCAGAACCCAAAAGATTTGAGTCTTAGAACTTTCAGAACACAGACCAAAGCAGATAGCACCTGCCCCTTCTCCACTAGATGACCAAAGCTGCATAACAGCTCCAGGCTCCAATCAATTTCAAGACCTACCACATGAAGTAGGATCTTCTAGAACATCCTTCCTTATTGATAAAAGGCCATCAGACTCAGAAACTCTCCCAGCACATAGCACAGGAGCAAGTACTGACCAGGAGAGAAGAACAGCAAGTGCTTCACCACCTTGGCCCCTTCCCAAAATAAGGACCAGGGATTTTTCATTTACAGCTGAAACTGCATTTTGCAAGGGATTTTTTTTATTCTTTCTGCGCACTCTATGTATAGAGTATACAGGGAATATACATTATTTCAGCCAGCTGCTTGTCCCTCAGGCTTGACCTAGCTCCGCATAAAACACTGCTACCCTCATGGCAATGGAGTCTGAACCAGAAAGTCAGCTTCTGATCAGGGATGGGGCAGCACATGAACACATGAAACAGTGAGGAGCTAATAATCAGTTATTATTATCGTTCCTATTATCATTTTTATTTGCTCTCAGCCTGACTGTGGAAGCAGAATGGGAGTTCTGCCTCATCTATTAACCTGGAAAGAAAGGCAAGATGTACACCAAGAAATAAAAACAGTAAGAAGCATCTAGACGAAACAGAATCTTTGCTTTTGATGAGACAGCCCCCTCTCCCCCCTATCTTTGCAAACAGTTGAACCGATTATATCTCTTACCTGTATGGTTCCAGAGACCTGCTGCCATAATACAAAGCTTCTTCCCAGGATTCAAGGTTAATACAGGCATCCATGGCACAGTCAAGCATTTTCAGCTGATAGATATTTGTGTCTGGAAGATGACCCGTATTGCTGCTCAAGAGATTCTGGCATCTTGCCAGAACCTGTTCCCACTCTATTAGCTTTAGTTAAAGAAATATCTTTAATCAAACAAGAATACAAGTTTTAAATATTGTTAGCAAGGAGTAAGAGCTACAGGGCATTAAGATAAAAAAGCTGCCATCATTCCAGACTCTGCTTCGATTCTTGAAAACATACTTGAACTCAGAAGTGGTAGCTTAGGTAACTATGCTTTGTTTACATTTAGCAAAACAATTTCTAAAGAAGGCAGCATTTCAGCAATAAAGGGTAAAAGAAAGATGACAAAATGAAAGGATATTTTAATACATAACAAACTAAAATTCAAACACTTTTTATTTAGCTGCTGAAACATTATTATTTACTTAAGATACTCCTCCAAATCTTACACCCAAGGGCAAGAACTCATGGAAATGTGTCTTAACAAAATGCCTCAGCAGCTAAAAAAAGAAATTTATTTTTTTTATATATTAAAATAATGACACATACGTTTAAGCTGCCCAAGATTTGGTTTAGAATTCTCATGGAATTAGAACCTTTTCTTGCAATTAATTAGTTTTCTTTCTCCTTGAAACAGTTGTAAAGTGCATTGTTTTTTTTCCACATACAGCTGCATGTTTCATGCATGAGAAAGAAAAGCATCACAGTTCTGATGTCTGACTGTAGTTCAGGATTAAGGATCTTGGCAGTAAAGAAGATTTTTACTTCCAATGCTACAAGAAGATTTTTTGTGTATTCGGAAGAGAGGAAAAGTAAGCTGGGGCTTGCATTCACTTTAGTTGGATATTCCTTACCACAAATCACTTATCTTCATTACATTCTACACTGGTTTGACTTCTCTGTGGACCAGACTCTTCTCCCTCTGACGACACCTAAGCTGAATAAAAATACTCCCAGATTTTAAATGAGTGCCGTCATGTGGCACTTTATGGGAATCCCAGAATGGAAGCAGTCTAGACACCAAAAAGGTACCATACACACCAGTAAGAACAAATCAAATAAAAAAGAAAAATTAGATATATAGTAAGAGAAGTAATAACATTGTTTGTATCACCGTCCTTTCCATATAACCAGCTCAAGGAAGTTGAGCAGTTATCTTCACAACATTACTGAAAATACTATTCACCCCAATCCAGCAATGGATTTAAGTGTACAATGGTAACCCTGTGATGAAGTAATTAGTCCCTCCTGAACATGGGAATATTTACATACTTAAATTTAAGAATGTGACCACTATGTGGCTGGGCCAGGATTTATAGCATGGTTGTTACAAGGCTAAACTAATTATTTGTGAATTGCTCTCATGCCCTTGGATTGAAAGAACCATATAAGGGAAGGAATGTGTTATTATAAAATTGCACCTTAACCTTTATATCTCTGGCAAACATCCATGTATTCTTTACAACTGATTAAGGACAGACAAACAGAAGAATGAGGGATATTATTTCCACTTGATACAATTTTTGTAGAAAGTACAAAGCACTGACATTCTTGAAAGATTACCATTTTAGCTGATGCACGGTATTACTCTGTCTGCTTTTACTTCTCATTATACTGCTTTGTTCACTCACTAGCATCTAATAGCAGATGTGCTATATTGCAAAACCTGTTGGGACCAAATTTTCAGGTATGTAAATTGCAAACTAGAAAACCTACTATCAGCTGCAACAGGACAAAAGAGAAGCTGGTGTCCTGTACCTGCCCAAGACTAGAGGAGCAGCCCTTAAGCAGCTCTGCTACTGTTGTGTGGCCTGAGATGCAGAGGAATCCTTTTCTCTAGAATAATCCCCTTCCACTGGGCTTTAGCACCTCAATTTGTATGCTTAAACTGGAATTTGGGTCTGAGGCAGTTCACTCACACATATTGTTTCAAGTTCTCTAACTGCATATTTAGCATTACAACACTGTATCAGTTATAATCAGTAGCTCAGGTTTTGGAAGTCATTAACTTTCTCAACTGTAGGAACTTTTAGTTTAATTTCCTAAAAAATTACATTTGCAGAAACTAATGACTATGTGCCTCAGTCAGCAAGGAAGGTTTTCTATTCATTCTTGGCAAGTGGACAAACATCAAGCCCCCTCTTCAGGTACTGCACCTGCCACTGCATGCCAATTAGCACTGGTATGGTTGTGCAATGGAAGGAAAGATGACACATTCCAAATAGCCCATGTCTGAAAACAGAAGCTGGACAGACAACAAGGACATATTTTTTCAACCAGTCCTGATACCTTTTACTACAATATGATTGATTAATTTTTAAATATCAGTTAAATCAGTAATCTTAATTAAAGACCCTAGCAAAATTCATTAGGTGCAATTTATCCTGCAATTAAATATAGGAACATGAAATAGGACCAGTATTCTCGCTCCATACTTCCAGTATAAAAATGATTGCAACTGCGTGTTGCATATCTATAATTTAACTTTCAGGTTAAAACACTGGCCCTGAAGTATAACTGAATGCCCGAAGATCTATTTCAGTATGTCTGTCTCAATCCAGTGACTTACAGAGGAACTTAAGATAGACTGGAAACTATATGAAAATTAAAGTTAGATATTTCCCTTTTGCTAACAAGCGAATCTCTCTAGATTAGAAAGAAACAAACTCAGGTTTTGGGGTTTTTTTTTGTTACAATAAAAATTGTGATCACTTGTTTCCAGCCTGCAATATCACTACACAAACTTGGTTTTTATGCTGCTGAAAAGGAGTACTGGAAGATTTAATTCTCTCCAGCTCCAGAAAAAGCCCATGTTTCTGAAAATGGTAAAGCATCTTGCTACAATAGGCCAAATTCACAGTCAGTGAAATTCCACTGAACAGACTAAGATGAGAGGGGGATCAATATACTCATAGTCTTCTAGTAACAATCTCCACCTCTCTTCTGCTCATCTTTTCTTGGTTGTTGCTGTTCACTAATTTTTTTAATTGGATTGAATATCTACATGATGGCCATTAGGCTCCAGTTCTGTTTATTAGTGCAAGATCATCTCATTCAATTTGCTTAATTATCAATTATTATTATATATTATTATAACTTATTATAATGATACTATAATGTTTGCAGTGAACCTGACTTTGATTAAGTCCTTGTTATTGTCATGGCTGTGCAAAGAATGAGAACCTGGAAATGTTCACAATGGGAGTAATGGGACAAAGAATTTAACAATGTTTCAGATTAAGCTTTATTTCATTTAGAAGTGGATTTATAAGAAGTGGTGGACTGTGATGGCAGAAATCTAAACCTGAGCCAAAGTATCCCTTCACATCCTATAGGGTAGGTACTATAGGCTACCTACTATCCCTGCCATGAAGCAGTTCCAGTCCAACCAATCAGAGACTCTATTATTATTAATACAATTAAGAGTATTACATGGTTTAAACATCAAATGAATTAAAAACACATTTTTAAACAACATAAAAATGTAAACCTTTAGGAAATAAATCTCAAAAGATGAACTGTGTACTAAGGGGGTCTCTGGATTGTTTTCACAACTGAATAACAGACTGTCACTGAAAGGATACCTTCTTTTGATTTTGGATATCTCACTTCATTTACAGCATCTTTGACTTGTTTCCACGCATGCTCTTCACCAGCCAATTTCTCAGCATCCTGGTTAATGGAAACAAAAGCATTTGATGAGAAAAACAGTAAACTGAGAATATGCAGTAATGATGAAAAACAGGGTAAAAAGATCACACTGACAAAAGCTACTTGTGGGGATTGTATCACTATTTTTTGTAAATACACAGCAAATTATTTCACCTGGCATTCATACGCACCCTGTGTTTGTAAGTAAATGAGATGATATCAAGAGAAATGAATGCAAACTTGGAAACATTAAATACTCAAACCAGATACTAGGTTTGCAACAAGAACTATGATCAACCAGAAAAGAGAAATAATAGCATGTGATTTTTGCTATTAAAATGCATTGAACAGATCAAATTCTCTCAAAGACCTGCGATCTAATACTTCACAGATCCTCAACCACACTGCAGAAAGCATTTAGCAAAGAATTTTGATTAACCATGTGGTGATTATATACACTTTACACAGTGAGAGGCTACCTTCATCCATTACAGTTATAAGCATGAACTTACAGAAGTCTACTACTCAGAAAAGATGAACTTCAGTTTTCTTTTATAACTCATTGCTATTTCTTCCCTATTCCATCGGATTCTATAAACAGCTATATTTTCCCATCGCTTTGTCATAAAAAAGGCAAAAATGATTAATGGCTACAGCAGTAAGAGAAAGTTTCCCTTTTCAACTCTCTAGCAGTGACTAACTGCACCTTAGGCAAACCACTTGGAACAAATTTATTAAAGCATCTACAGACGCAGTTAAGCATCTTGAGGGATTTTGAAAAGCATCTAGGTATTAAATTTCCATCGCTATAAGCACTTAAATACCTTTAAAAATCTGGCCTTTAAGACACTGCAGTTCATTATCTATCTCCTTTATAAAAGGTCCTGCTACTCACAAAAGAGTTTTGTAAGTGCAAATTCTTGCAGGAATATTTTAAGCACAGTTCTAAAAAAATCAGCCTTCAGCAGGGGTGGAGGCCTGGATATGAACACGGTGGTGTGTGAAAATCTAACCAACCAATTTGTAACCAACAGACGCTCACTGGGCATCATAGGAGTAGCTCTATTAAAAAACCTGTAATCTGTATCTGTCTAGAACTGCATAATTTTCTTATTCTACTGCTCCTTATTTACATAAATTCAGAACAGAAAATATTTACAGTGAGAATCAGCACTCACTTTCACATTTAATTTGCAGTTTTGTCTTTCCATCTGCTCCATGAAACAGCAGACCTCTGTGTACTCCTGGAATGATTAAATCAAGATTAAATCAAGATTGGTCTCCAGCTGCCCCACCATTCTGTAGGGCCTTACAAGGAGGGCAGCCTGACCCCACTGCATTTTGCACATGTACTTCCCCTGCAATCAGTTTTCTGATCAAAAAGATCACCTGGAAATAATTTTGTGCATAGCTGAATTTGCCACCAGAAGGCATAAGGTGAATGTTAGGACAAAAAACTTCATACTGTAGAAATTTTATCACTACAGTTAATGCACACACCCAACCCTCTTACAGCTTGGTGATAGACTTACACTGAATCTGTTAGCTTTAATGCAAGCTCTACCAGTTTTTATGGGACTACATCAATTTCTGAACTCAGCCTGTTAACCTGCAACAATCTGTCTCTATAACATCTTTGTAGATCAAGCGCTGCTCACTGATCAATCTAAAAAATAAATCTGGCCTGTAAGATACTCATAATGATGTCTGTGAAGTTTTAGGTTTAGGGAGCTACTGAAAAAGAAAAATTCTTCTAAGCTATCTTTTCCCACTCATCCAAGTATAATTCTCAGTATTTCTGTAACATGCTGTAAGCCTTAAAACTTAAAACCTTGGAAACATGGGAATTGGGACAGACTTATAAGTGAAAGAAAAAAAAAACAACTACACACCAAATTGCAGGCCAATGACTGATGCATCATTAGGGCTCACTTTGCACACAGTGGGACTGATGGATGAATCGGGTTAAAGTGTTCAATGACACGGGATTAATCTTTCTCTTTCTTGTGCAGTCTTTTGAGTTGCTTTCCATTGTCTTCTAGCCACTTCATTAACAACACAAAGCAGTGCAAAGTTGGGGTTTCCTCTAACCTTTACGCTAGTGTACAGGGTTAAGTCAACACTGGCTTCATATCCAGGTAGAGAATAGGGAGTGTCTATTGGACGAATAATCTCCCAGCCCTCTCTGGATTCATGGTCTTTATCCCTTTTGTAAGAGACTTTAGGATGAAGGGAGCTGGGCAGGATGCCCAGCTCTGTGAAGGATTTAAGTCACAGGTTTCAATGAGATGTTTTGTGTGTTCTCAAGATGAGGCATTTTGGGGATTGGCTGACATAAGAACAAGCAAAGACCTGGCTAGCTGGGCCTTTTACACCTCCACTGTTCTTCATCAGATGTCCATACACCAAAGAAGTCCTGTCCTTTCCTAAACACTCTAGTTCAAGGCACGGAGGCTGCTTCCAAACAGTCAGCCACACAGGGGCTGCAAAAAACCCAGGAGGGCTTGTCACTGAGAACACCTCTGCCTTCCAGCCTAATAAGAATTTTCTAAGTAAGTTGTTTCTCTCCCTTGGACAATACCTTGAAAGTCATGGTCATGTGATACGACTAAGCCAGCTAAAAATACAAAGCTGCCTTGGAGTTGGAATTATGGAAATAATTGAAGTGATTAATAGTTACACCAAACTGTTTAATTTAATCTAAGTGCATGGCAGTAACAGCTATAAGAGATTTAGCTTTCCACAGAGTAGCACCCATTCAAAGTATCTCTTTTCAGAACATGTTCCCAGTCAAACGTCCAGGTGTGCAGAGCTGCCAACAATAACGGAAGACAGGCTTTTTTCATCTGTAGAAAAAGAGAACCCTAGCTAAAGAAAAGGAAGAGGCTTTTGAAAAAGAAGGAAGAGTTAGCGACTTGTGCCTAATTATTTTCCTTATTTCTAACATTGACATTAAACATAAAAGTTTGTTCTTCAGAACAACAAAATATTGCAGTCCTGGTCTAGAAAATAATTAGACTAGATAATCCGGTCAAAAAAATGTGTGACAACATTATAATGGCTGAAACTGGCATGCTTTACAATTCAGCTTTCGCACATAGAGGCATGCTGGAGAAAACGAGTAGAAGTGTTGAAGGCTCATGGGGAGAGCAGAAAAGACAGCTGCAACACATGCTTTTCCATGGCAAGAACACAACCTTGCAATACTCTTAATAACACAGGTACAATCCACTGGAGGCAGAAGCGTCACTGGATGTGCTAGCTGAACCCACAATCCAGGGCACAAGGAAAGACAAAATTGATCCTGTGACTTATTTTCAGCAATTATTCCAGATGGAAGATGGTTCCAGCACCTGCTTTCCACTTACTCCAAGCATGTGCAGGGGAAACTTGTTCATTAAAAGGTGAGTTAAGATGCAGAAGCAACATATCAATTCCATCTCTCCATTATTCCAATACCATGGCAGGTACTGCTACATCTTTCTTGACAAAACACACCTAGGGATTTATTATCTTAACACTGAAGCTTTCTGGAAATCTCCATGGACTACCTATCCCTTGCACTACCTATCCCTGACTGCTTAGACTTGTGCTTCTGATCTTTTAGGCAGAATAATTTCCAGTTATATTTGGTTCTTCTAATAAAAAAAGCTGTAAGTTAAACTCTTCACACCTGACACCTCTCAAAAAAAGGACACTATGTACCTTCACATCCTGAATTTAGTCATGGTACATAAAACATGAAGGCTCACCTACATAATTCAACCAGACAAAATTCTACCCTTGGAATCTATTTGGCTCTTCAAAATGGGCAAATGCAAAATATTCTGTAAAGCAAAATTTTCCTGCCATAAAGAACCATCTTTCCTCCCTTAAATTTCATAATAATTTCACTGTATAAAGGATTCCAGACAAGGTTATTTTTTAAAAAATATTTGCTTGAACATCATAATTTCTGTAGCCTGTAGATCAGAGCAACATTAGTTGTTGTTTTGCTTTCAGAATATTTCCAGCTTTTATATTCAATTATTCTCCAGGCTTTTAAATTTGTAGATACTCATTGCAATCTATGTTTCAGGAGCCTGAGAATGGACATGATCAGCTCTGCCCAGTGCATCCTGTAAAAGCTTATGAAAATAGTCTGTGGTACACAATACACCACTAAATGTCAATATTTGCTTTAAATACTACGGTTTTCCACAGTTTAGGTTCCATTAGTGACACTTGTAAAAATGAAGCTATAACCATTTATAACAAAGCTATAACAAAAGAGACAGAAATAAGAAAACCAGAGGGTATTGGATGAGGATTATAATCTGTTTGCATAGTGATCAAATATCAAATGTTCTGTGGTTCTGGCTTTAACAGATAGGAAGATTTATTATAAAAGCACCATCTCCTGAAACAATTACAGACATCAGCCACCACAGAAATAAGCATTTGAAAATGTTCACCTGTTCCATTCTCTCCTATTCCTTTGCTCCTACATTGTTCGTAAGAATTAGTTCTCTCCGTATTTTTTCTGCTATTCTAGTGTCCTGAACACATCCCATCCTTAACTGATCTCTCCCTAGAAAGGAGCATAATCTTCAAAGTACAGATACATGTTTCTCTTTCCTTCTTGTTGCTTTACACCACTCATCTTTCCCTGACTACTCTTCTGTTTCTTATACTTCCTAAAAGTGCTCCCCACCTATTCATTGCAAACGCCACTGCTTTTACACACAATGTTAGAAGTCACTGTTCTTTGCTATCCTACATTTTAAATCCTGAATGTTAAAAGATTCCCACATGGACAGCATGTCCTCTGAGAGAAGATATCTCTCTTACCAAAACAAGCATATGCCAACCAGTCAGCGTCATTTCCCCCTCTGCCCAAATGCACTCCCGCAGCCCCAACATTGCTCATCTGTAGTGCACTGCACCTCTGAAAATCTCCTGAACATTGAAAAGGTTGATTCAGAGCTAGTCCTCCTTTCATATTAAGGCTACAGGATAGAAATAGGACATGCATTTTCTGT